AAGACTGACTATTGTACCATAAAGCTGAGAGTGTTAAGAATATAACTGGATGATGCCAGAAGTAAAGCTAAACTGCCAAACTAACTCAAACAGGATTACATTTTATCATAATATTATTTTTTTAAGTAATCTTTTTAATTCTTCAAAAAGTATTTTCTATAGCAATGTGAGAAACTCAAACTATAGGTTATGCTTCAAGAATATGCCTTGAGTGCTAATCATACCGAATGGTGGTAAATTTCACAAACATTTAATTTTACTCTGCAATGTAACCCTTGTCACAAGTTTAGACATTTCTTATGAAAATGCTATTTCTAAATTTTCTGGGTAAAATGCTAATGAAATTTCAAGTTACAGTAGTTATAATAAAGTTCAGTAGATATTTTTTCAACTATAGTAAAAAAAATGATACTCATTTCCTGAAAAGTTGTCCTGTGTGGGGAATTTTTGTGACTGAGAAACCCGTTGAGAAAATTAACATGATGGGAATTTTAAAAGAAATGCTGAGTACATGTTACATGAAATATATTTGCATATTAATTAGTTTCTTGTGTACTTTATACTCACGTTCTTCATATTTTCTTAGCATGGTTTGTGCCAGACTGATTAAATGATTCCATTATTGGACACATTGCTTGTAAACATGCATTACAGAAAAGAAAAATTTGGACATGGCATTTTTTTCTGAAAACATGATAGTAAAGATTTCTTTCACAGCCTGTGAAATTTTAATTTTCTTTTTTACAGTATGGATTGTATGCAGGCTTCATAGGGCCATTCATTTATGCCATATTTGGCACAGTGAAGGAATTACATGTGGGTCCAGTGGCAGCCATTGCTGTGTTGATTGCTGGTGTGACTGCAAAGGCCTCCCCTGCATTTGCAGTGGTTTATACTACTTTGCTGTGCCTTGCATTTGGCATCTTTTCTTTCCTAGTGGGTCTTCTGAAACTTGGTAAGGACTTTTAAAAAAATGGTTCATGCTGAACTATTATGGTCACTGTTTCATAATAGGTTGGATGGTGGAGCTGGTGTCAGTTCCTGTCACTTCAGGCCTTGTTTCTGCAGCAGCAATAATTGTTATGCTGTGCAACATAAAAACTTTCCTGGGTTTCAACCATTTCAGAGGACAGACACTCACTACTCTATTGCCCAAGTTTTATGAAAGCATGGACAAGATTGTTTATGGAGACCTGATTATGGGTATTGCTTCTGTGATTGCATTGCATCTGATGCAGGTGAGATAAGAATGAAGGGATTTTTGTTCTGACATATGAAAAGAATGCCTGTTTGCCTCATAGGACTCCATCAAGATACAATGGGGGAAAATAACTCCCAACAAATTCATCTCCAAGACTTTAAGCATTATCTGTAAAACCATTTCCTTGGGAAGGACCCCACTTCTGACAACCATGTGTGGATACACTGCCTATTACCTCAATGTGCACAGACCAGAGCAACTTATCACAACAGCAAGTGAGGGGTTTTTTCCAGCAAAAACAGAAAATTTTGATTGAATGGTCTAATATATGATGATATTGCAGAGGCTGTTGATATTTTGGGCATTCCAAAACCAAGCATCCCAGCTTTTACTTGGCCTGCAAGGAATGAAACAATTGATGGAATCACCTCTGAGCAGCCACAGTTGGATTTCCTGGGGATCTTAACTTATGGAGGATCAACACCATTGATTGTGTTGATTATTTGCTTGGTGCAGCAATCACTGATCAGTAAAAATTTCAGTAAGAACTTCATGTTTTTTTTTCCTGTGTGAAAGAATTGCAATTTTTGGTTTGCAGGGAGAGCTGAGGGAGTGAATGTGAACCATGAGTTGATGTCTTTGGGTGTGATACAAGTGGCATCTTCCTTTTTTGGCTCAATGCCTGTGACTGGAGCTTTTATTAGGAGTTCAGCAATGGCTGCTCAAGGAGTTAGGACCAGATTTGGTGTCATTTGGGCTGGTGAGGTTTCAAAGGTGTATCTTTTAAGAAATTTCATTCAACTGTCATAACGCTTCTGTTCATTTAAGGACTCATGGTCTTGTTTGCTCTCCATGTTCTTACACCATATGTGGAGTATGACCCTAAGCCTTCTTTGGCTGCCATTGTTTTCTGTGCTGTTTTCCATTTGATCCAGAGGGATGATATCATGAGGATCTGGAAGACAAACAGTGAGTCTTGTTTCATGTTCTTTCATATTCCAATTTACATACCCCACATAACTCAACCTTACAAATTAACTCATTTATGTCCCCAAAGATGCATAAAAATAGTTTACCTACTCATATGTTTTTCCAAGGATTGGTTTAAATATGGAGGAAACTGTAGCATCAGTCTATTGTTAGAATAATTTAGTTTTGGTCATTTTATTTGCATTCAGAGTATTGATTTAAGCAATTTTCGCCTCAAATAGCAGAAAAACTTTATTGACAAACAGAGATAAAGACCAATTTTTGAATTGATCTTCTTATATGCCCTTCTCATTTTCCTTGCAGGGATGGACATGATTCCCTTTGCAGCAACATTTGTTACCAGTCTATTGGCAGGACTGCAAGCAGGATTTTGCACAGGAGTGGCAACCAATATTTTCATGCTGTTAGTGGTTGCCTCAGACCCAGACATTTGCATTGAGAATGACCCGCATAGAAACGTGACCATCATCAAACCAGACCGATCAATGCACTACCCTGGAGCTGAAAAACTGCGGCGCGCCATCTGCGACACTGCGCTGCTTGACCATCCACCAGGTGTCGTTGCTGTCGACTGCTCCGCCCTGGTGGACATGGACTACTCTACTGTGAAGCGACTCGGATCTACGGTGTTGGGCCTCAAGATGGCGCGCGGCACTCGCGTTGTTTTCATCAACGTGAAGCCGAAAGTTGAACAGGCTCTTCATGGATTCACGGATGGTGCAGTGGAAACGTATCCTTATGATTTAGAAAAATTGTTGATGCAATCTGGCAGTGTCGATAATTTGACAGTGAGCGGAAGCATCGAAACCATCGATTCCGTCGTTGTTGCGAACTCATCGACGGACGAAGAAGTGATCAATCTTCAGAAAGGAACTAATAATCCTGTTGACTGAAAGACTGGAGAAACTCGTTTTTCGTGGTGTCTAGTCCTACAGAGATATGGTTTCTTCTGGGATGATTAGCTTATTTTTCACGGATTTCCGCGTGGATGGGCGATGTTCGCAGCAGTGTCCTGTCGAATTGCGTGTGATTCATGCGGAGTTTTTTGTCTTCATTATACATGAGATTTCCACAACGTCCTATGTATCGATTGCGAGAGCCAAGATGAATATTGTGGGATTCCTTTGATTAAGTTGAATTGTCTAAGTGTCACATATGAAGCTGTCCTGTGGGAAATCAAGCACGACCGTTCAATTATTCCGCCGAAGTTGAATCAGACGGACGCTTTAGTTCGGCTCCCATCAGCCCGCGAATTTTTAATCTGTTTTCGTTCTGAATTACTAATGCCTGGCTCAGACGAAGAACGGTTTAATTTGAATCTGACTTTATTTTTCGACAATGACCTGTTTCACAGAAACGCTTCTCCTGTGTAAATAAGCTGTGCCGGAAAATTGCGCGATTACTTATGAATTCTGTCTGTATTGAACCATACTTTCTGATGTTTGACTTCGACTCCGAATAAAGATAAAGTATTGCGTCTTTCGGTATTATGCCTGGATTGCTGAACATTGCAACAGAGCAGTAATTATGCTGGGTCGATCATTCAAGTTTCCATTTAGACCATATAATTGCGTCAACACGTACAGATATGATGAAAAAAACTTTTTTTTTTAAATCATGACGCGTTTTCTAGAAATTTTCAATATGCGTCGTGAAGTTATTCCCGCAAATCCTGTCATATACTCACTTGAATCGTTCCTGTGCTTATAACTAATACGGCTCGACCTAACATCAGAGCGTCTTTGGTTCTTATACTCGGAAGTTGGATCACGTCAATAGTGATTGAAGAAGTTATATTGCTCGGGGATGGTCCATAGGTGAATCCAACGATACCTTCGAGATCCTCTTCTGAGAACTTGTCCAGACAGTACGTGTGACATTATCTCCGAATTGTACTTCCAGAGTAATGTGCGTCATTCATTCGTTTTTTGCGTGTTGTCGCTCTCGATTGTGGGACAGTTTGATGAACAGAGTTAGTGAGACGTCGAATATATCGTGTACATTGTGAGGACGAGGGCCGAGAGACTGCTTTTTCCGCAGACTGGGCACATAAAATTTGTACGACGGTGGCGAGTGCCAGAACCAGGTGAACCGGCTTGTCGTGTGACGTAGAAAAGACGGAAAGAAGTTATAATGACGCGGGATTTTGCTTTTTGGATTCATTTTTTGGTTCGTTGTTCACAAGACCGTCGTGGTAGTGTGGTTGGATTACGTGTAGGCGAATGTAAGAGAAGGCTATATTTTTGTGCCGTTGTTGCAGTGAAAACAATTTTGCGTGATGTTTTTTTGTGAATACAGTACATACCGCGTGGAACGAGTTATCGCTTCTAATTTCTTTAATCTTTGAGGATAAGGTTGGTTCCCCCTCCCATTTGACTTGGTTAACGCTCCGAAGGTCCTCGTGATCTCAATAAGTTCTTCGAACTGAACATAATATTAAGCATTCGTTTATATTATGTCCGTTTTCATTCGTAAGATTGTGTGCCTGCTGGTTCAGAATCGATCTCGCGCCGTACATACTGCGGATGTCAGACGCACTGATTTTTCGTGTCAATTTTTCGAAAATAATTTTAAAGCCACACTCTTGTGTGAATAATATGATGCTGAGGATCTGAAGCATATTGCTTTTGCTCATCCTTGAATCACTACAACGTTGGATTCCTTCAAAACAAGAAACGACGTTTTTTCCGAGATTCGTCATCCTGTTCTGAGAAAAGCCTGATGTACATCTGCGATTGTCCCGCGCTCGCGGACCCGACTTTCAATTCGATCGAACTCGTTTCAAGATTAAAAATCGTGTTTCGTATTTTGTAAGACTAGTTTCAAATTGTGAGGCATCTTCAAGTTTCTGCTGCGCAAATTATCCAAGATCTGGTAAAATGGTCGTGTTTTCCTTACGATGAAAAGTTCAACTTGATGCGAGATAGGAGCGAATCTCGCTGAAGAATCGCATAGGCTCGTCTAATTTGTGTCTCCCCATTCTTTCTTTTCTCACGTATGCAATATTAAATATACTGTTATTGAAACAAACCTCCCGAATACGAGTTTTCCTCTGT